TGATCTGAAATGCAATGTCTGTCGTAGAGTCTGTTACGTACAAGCTGGCGCCTGATGTTTTCATTAGATATTAAGACCACATCATCCTCCAGCCTTGCCCGAGCCAGAAATCTTCGAATTGCAGCACTTACATTATCAGATATGAACGGTATACATAAGGGGATCTTGTTTTGGCCAGTCTCACGTGGTACGCTAGGGCGCTCAGAGTGAACCCTTCTGTGGGTTTGTGGAACAGTATAGCCGTTAGAAACAGCTATATCAGCAGCCAATCGTGTAGACTCTTGCCGTTCTGTCACACCTGTGCTCACGTTTGCAGCTGTCCTAAACATGTTTCGGACAACTGCATGTTTCAAGGCAGAAGGATGTGCAGAAGTGGCATGAATCAAGATGTTTTTAGAGCTTGCTTTTCTGTACCACTTCACACTGAGCATGCCATCGGAAACTTTCACCTGCGTATTCAAGTAAGGCAGCCAACCATTGCGGGGAATCTCTCGCGTGAGCTTAATGTACTGCGACTGCTGGTTCATCAAACGATAACACTCATCCATTTCGGATTGTGTTGATGTTACGATAAAGCAGTCATCGATGTACCTGCAGTACATTAAGGGTAATCGTTCCAGTACTGGTTCTTCTATTCTGCTCATGAAGCAGACTGCAAGTACTGGTGCTAAGCGTTCACCCATCGCGAGACCTCTTTGTTTGCATAGTAAGCTCCTGACCATTTGAAGATGTTACATTCTAAGCTTAGCTATAACAAATGACCTCTTACCGTTTTCACCAATTGCGAGATAATGATGTAAGCTATGAGAGGTGCAAGTCCTGATAGCTGCTATGCAAGGACGGCACAGTGAGTCTCACTTACTTTACTACCATCTAGTGGAGCGGCGTTGCCGCGGTGGACTTGGTGAGTATGTTTTGCCTACGGGTGGTTTTTCGGTTGTTTCTGGATGTACCGTCGGAAACGCTAGACGAGGCGTTGGCGGTGTAGAGAGCAAATTAAAAATCTTGAGCTACGTTTAGGCCTCTGAGGACGACGATCTGGTCGAAACGTTAGGCCGTGAATAAAGTTCCACCTAAAACCTCGTTGACGCAGAAGTAATAAAACATATTTACAACAATCCCGAGGTTCTTCGAAGAGAGAAGTTGGAGACTATTGGGCGATCTTCCGAGAGTTTTTCTAAGCAGGCAATCGTATTTTTATAAGGAGGTCCGCTACCCGGTAGCCTTGGCTATTTAATTGCGAAGAAGTTAGGCAAGTCCCACGAGTTTGACTGCTCAGAATTTGCTTGGGAGATTCCGAAGCGCTTTTGTATCCATATGTGGGAAGACTGTTTTTCGTCAGTCTTATAAGGAGAAGTCTCTCTGAAAACTGGGCACTAAGTAGCTTTCCACATGCGAAAACAACCACCTGTTTAGAGATTCATTGTTGTGTTCAAAGGCGAGTGTTAATAGCGGCACCTCCTATCAGCCTTTTGGGCGTTCAAACAGACTTACCAGTTTGAGCATATTTGTCGCCTGTGGGAGGATTTTGCCGTTCTTATTCTTGACCAATCCTTGGGCAAGTCTCGACCTTAATCGCCTCATTACAACCCCAGATGGAAAACATGAACTGTTGAAGATGTGGAACATAGTAAAATTGAACTGAACCTTCTGTAGTTGTGACCTTCAAGTGCAGCATTTCTTATCCGGTCATTCACCCCGCTATTTTGTGGGCACCTCATGTTGTCTGGAAAAATGGAGTGCTTTTTGAAATGAATTTTTTCTGAGAATAAGCAAAAGCGAAACGCATTGTGTTGAGGTGGTTTTGAAGGGCTGGACGGCGACGTAGGCAGTACAACCCTATAGCCTTACGGTTTTATTGATTTTGGCTCACTTGGATTCACAGTTGTTGTTACCACCACGGGTGCGGGTGTTGTTACCACCACTGGTGCGGGTGTTTTTACCACCACTGGTGCGGGGGTTTTTACCACCACTGGTGCGGGTGTTTTTACCACCACTGGTGCGGGTGTTGCTGGAGCTTGCACTTGGCTTCCTTGGTTGTTTCCATTTCCATTGCCACCGCCTAGGTCAGTATTACCACTGTAATCGCTATAGTCGTAATCTTCTTCGTCTTGTGCTAATGTTGCTGTGGCTAGCTGAAATAGGTGTGAAAATGTCAGAAATGTTCGGGAATCAAGCGAGACATAAAACTGACCAGGAGTGCAAGAGATACACGAGACAGGAAACGCATTGCCGGAGTGTCGACTAGTATTCCACTCTTTGCTTAAGTAGTGGTTCCAGCCCAACTTCCCATTTCCATATTCAGGATATCCGATCTATCTTCCTTTGTTAATAACATCTCAAAAACGATTAATTACGACAGCTAGTGTTCATTTTCCATCCACGTTGTATCGTTCCCCTACATTCCGTACCAAATAGCGTGTAAAAAATTTAATAATTGTAAATTAACGGAGGAGTCATACAACAGTTTCGCAAATTCACAAAGAAGTTTTATTCGTGCAACCAGCGGGCGTGGCTGAGTACTGCATGTGAATGTGATGGCGGCTGCACTTTTGGTGAGATACTGCCGTTCTGGGACAATTATAGTCGTGCCTGCATTCGACACAATGCAGGATGACAGCTGTCCCAGAAGTGTTTCTTCCACGAAAAACGCATTTTATGCTCGAATGAAGCATGCAGTTACGTCCATCCCATTTTCTGAACATGAAGTGCACCCAGCGGATTACAAAATAAAGCCATCGTGCTGTCATCAATTACCTTCCACTCTCAGGCGCAACTTTATTCAGCCATTGGCTGTCTTGGATTGTGTTGTACCGTCAGTACAGGTAATTTCTTCTAACACAACTTTCCGTAAAAAGAGTGGAAATCGGTTCCAATATGTTCCATCTTTTCGCTCCCAGTATGTTCCATCGTTAAAAAACAAGTCGATTCCCATATGTTTAGCTTTTTGGTCGTGTACTTAACAAACTGATCGGTTTCTCCTTTTTATTAGTTCGATGTAAAAAAGGGAGACTGTAAAAAATTTCAAACAGACAGCCCAGTTTGAGCACTCGAAAATTAGTGGAACCAGAATCTTCAGAAAAGCTAAGAGAACCTCCTTCCAAGGCGAGGATTTCTCTGCTGTACGAAACCCAATAACAGAACTTTTTGTCTCCGCGCGAAATATCTAGTGAGACAAAAACCTCATTACTTACGGGCCAACCCAGTGCGGGCGTTCGAGAAGACAGGACTGCTGATTCAAAGACAGAGATCAGACCACAGACAGTACTATAACCTGTACCTCCCACCGACGGTTGAAAAGCGCTATTCATTATGCCACCGAGGCTGCCCCGACCCTTTTAGCTCATTGGCATTTCGTTGATCGAAGAA